GCTGCCTGTGGAACATCACTGGGGCTTTGTGGAGCTGTGCTGTCAGTCTCACTGGTGTTTTGTGGGAGCAGAATGCAGCGTTACATTTCCAAAAAGATTATATCAGCATAAGCATGTTTTCTTTTTTGTTTGCAATCCGTCTTCTTTTCATGAACCTGTAGCTTACGGAAGGAAGAGCTCAGTGCCATTTCAGGGCCAAATGAATTTGCAGAATTCTACAACAGACTGAAACAAATTAAAGAGTTTCATCGGAAGCATCCCAATGAGGTAAGTAATTAGCTGCTTCGTAAGAATAACTGATTTGTGGTGTGTTGGGCTTCATCTCTGCTGTATTAAAATGTCGCTCAGGAAAACAAAGCATTCAGGAATAGGTGGTGCTTTAAGGCTTTATATAAGCCTGTATCTGAGTAGGAGAAAATGCAGGATGCTCACCATGTCCTCCACACACTTATTAGTTTAAGAACATTCTGCTTCTGAGCTAGTATTCATTCTTGCCTGCATAACATTGTCTAAAGTCAGAGTCACTGGGTTGTACTTTTTTTCCTTAGTGCAAATGTAATCATGAAGAACTGCTTTGAACACCTGTTCAGTTACCAGTTTTACTGTTTGCAGTCTGTATGTATTACTCCTGGATATTAGCTGAACTGATCACTTTTTCTGTAACTTCTGTCTGTTCTTGAAGATTTGTGTTCCAATGTCAGTGGAGTTTGAGGAACTGTTGAAGGCCAGAGACAACCCAAGTGAAGAAGCTCAAAGTAAGTCTGTAGGGTTTTGTTTGTTTCTTTTTCGAAGCCAGTTTAAGTGAGAATACATTGCTTGCTGTGATTTAGTGACCTGTCTGATCTGTTTTGCATGTTTCAGAGTTCTACCTCCCTTTTCCTACATTAACCATGACAAATGTTCTTATTTCATTTAAATTCTTCTGAGCTGCAGAAATATTCCACGGTTGTGATGATTCTTTTGAGGAATGTTCTGATTTAACACAAGGAAGCTAGCAGACATCTAGTCAATGAGTACCCGTTTGCATTATAAACATGCTTAAGAAAGATAAATTAGTCTGCAGTTAATTATTTTCAGATTCTAAAGCATGCATATAATAAGCAGAGAATGTTAAGTTCGTAACAAAGCTCTGCATGCTCTTTCCTGCAGACCTGGT